TAAAAGTGATCTCATATTTATTTTGTTTTCTTAATTTTATAATATTTTATTTTATCCTAAGTTTAAAATTGAGATGTTACCATTTTTATATTAACGGGTAGTTTTTTAAACATGTTATCAAATTAAATAACACATAAAAGAAATATTTAAAGAAAAATATATCAAATTATGGTCACTTAAAAAAATGATATTTTTTAAAATTTACTCATTATAAAAATAACTTTGTTAATAACTTGAACACATCATTAGTTTAAAATTTTTTTTCTTCACCCGCCACTATTCTCTTCCATTTTTTTCTTGATTTTATCATGATAAACCGGTGGTAAAAAAAGTATTAATTTATCTTTTAATAATATATTTAATAAACATAGCAGAAAATAATATTTTAATTTATATTCAAAATACAAATGATTAAGTTATTAATTTTAAAAGATTAAGGAAGTCAAACCTTGTTCACTAAATATATTATTCACATAATATATATAGCTCATGAATAAGCATCATTACAACACTTTTAATCTTAGTACCATTTTGTACTCTGGGTTAAGAGAACCTAAAAAATATAATGTTGTGTGTATTTCTTTTAAGAGAAAAAAATAAGATATCATTATACTAAATCATTAAATTTGAAATGGTGTATAATACTTTACTACACATGATTTTTATCTAGAAGTTTATTGAAGTCTAAGCAAGTGTTCCATTTTTTTTTTCAGGTCTAAGTTTCGGTGAGTTTTTAAATTTTGTTATACAAATTAATAATAACAATTAAGTTAAATTTAAAATATATAAAACCTGTACCATAATCTTAAATTAAAATCATTTAGTTAACTTTTTATAAATAAAAATTATTTCATTCCTTATTATAGATCAGTGTAGATGTAATAGTTTATTGGGAACAACCATTCCAAAAAATATGTTTGAGATTAGTTACTGTTGGTGAATATTTTGTAATGTAGTTTAGAAAATGAAGGGTGCATATCAACTAATAATAAAGTTGCATCATTTTAACAAAAAATAACACTTACAAAAGAAATANTTGATCTTCAAGTATAAATTCATTCACAAATCCGTGGATATGAAATATTTGTTCAATATCAATTTCATTAAAAAAACATATATTTATCTTTTTACTATTTCAAATACCAATTAAATATTTATTTTACAAAAATAAAAAAACAAACCATATAAGTATTTAAATTTAAAAAGATAAACGTTTTTTTCTTCTATATCAAATATTAAAAAATAAATCATAATCATATAAATATAAATAAGGTAAAAGAAATAAAGAAAAGTTATTATAAATATTTTAGTCATTTAAAATAAAAATGATATAAGGATAAATTAAATATCTACGTTTCATTTTGATTTTTTTGTCCCTTTCAAAAAAATTAGATAATATCCATATTTATATCCGTAATCAATCCACAAATCTCCCATTAAAATCAAAACTATCCGAAGAATATCTACAAATCTTTCATTAAAATCGATTTTTTTTAAATATTACAAGGCACATTTCGTTTATCATTTCTAATAAAATTTATTTATATTTATATTTATGGAAATTATCAAAGTAATTTTAAAATCTCATCTAATTTTTCTTAAATACTAATACATGTTAATCCTATTTAACAAAACCACATGTTCGTCACAACCAATTTTTGTAAATACCTAACAAATGACATTATAAAAGTAATAAACTCGATTATTTTAATATTAAATGGTTTTAGTATAAATAGTTTTGTTATATAGAAATTCCATTATTTTAAAACACAATTTCTTTATAAATAATTTTTTCTAGAGTTTTCTAATTTTGTTATAAGAGATTTTCTTTTCCGACTGGTCTGATTGAATAATTGAGACCATAGGATTGATCATTATAGTGAACTCTTCAATTTAAATCAATCAATTTTTTCATTTGAGTAAGTTAAATTTTCAATCATTTTTCTTAGTCTTTTCTTATATTAGTTGCACGTGGGCTTCACTCAGCTACCACATGTCCTTTTAGTATTCAGTTTGAGTTTTTGTTGATCAGTAGTTCTAATGGTGTATCTTGATTGTGTTTTTGTTGTTAGTATGAGCAAATAGAGTCTCTTGAGCTTGTGATGTCGTTTTAGGACCCTTAGAGCTGTTTGGTCATTTAGATGTGAATTAATACTTTATTTTTAATTGATAGACAAGTTTTATTTGATGTTTGTATGATGATATGATAATTGTTTTAAGTAATTGAAGTTTTTGATGAAATTTGGTACGTTGAGTTGTTTGTATAAGTCCTATGTTGAATTAAAATTCATGAATGTTTGTTTGTAGTTGGTTTGATGATATTAGAATTGATTTTTGATGAATTTGATAATGTTAGACTGTTTGTTCTGAGATGTTCAATTGTTATGGAACCTTGATGTGATAAGAAGATAGAAAATTTGTGTTTTTGGTCCAAAATGAGAGGTTTTGACAAGTCAAATCCTGAAAGAATGATTTTGGGGAAAATTTAAAACTTTGGGAACTGTTTTTGGGTTAATCAGGACTAAATTGGCCTTTTACTTTGCAAATATCTGATTTCTATAGATTAAAAACTTTTATGAGTTTTTGGGTAGTTGGTTTGATTTGATAAACTCAATTCATGTTCAAATGAGTAAATTTGTATTCAATATGGGTTATAAACGTGTTTATCAATCAATTTCATTAGTAAGAATACCAATTTGGTTATTTGAATAGGTTTAAAGAGCATTTAAGTTAATTTTTAGAATTGTTATCATCTGATATAGTGTTCATGAACAGTCTTGTAGGAGGCTGAGCGCTATAAAACCTAAGAGCTACTGAGTTTCTGAGCAGGTTCTAAGCGCCATGAAGTCAAAGAATTATCTGACTTGTGGGTGTTGAGCAGTGGAATCTGACTTGTGGCCTGAACCTCTTTTACTTTTAAGTTGCTAGGGGCGAAAGTTGTGCCGATAAGTCTTTATCTTGGATTTTTGAGTCTTATGAGTAAAAGATTAACTTCATGAGTAGTAGGTGGAGTTACCTTTTGTTTATAACTCTACAGAGTATAAATACTACCATGGGTGTACACCTTCATTGAAGTCTATGTCAAAGCATTGTATCCGGATAATTAAGTCTAGAGTCAAATGATTATATGTTTTTATGAGTTATAAAATGTTTTAATGTTGAACTAATATGTGATTAATGAAATTGTTTATGAAGTTTTCTTTTAAACACTAGTTCACCTTGTTGTCTCTTTTGTTGTTCTTGGTGTGTTGTTTGTTTCTTTTGCGATGATCATCTGATTGGAGAGATAAGTGTTGAAGTATCATAGGTAGAGGATGATGATACTACAGAAGTCTTTTTGATGGTTTAGTGATTATGTTTAATTATTTTCTTCTAGATAATTGTATTAATTTTGTATCTAAAAGTGATCTCATATTTATTTTGTTTTCTTAATTTTATAATATTTTATTTTATCCTAAGTTTAAAATTGAGATGTTACCATTTTTATATTAACGGGTAGTTTTTTAAACATGTTATCAAATTAAATAACACATAAAAGAAATATTTAAAGAAAAATATATCAAATTATGGTCACTTAAAAAAATGATATTTTTTAAAATTTACTCATTATAAAAATAACTTTGTTAATAACTTGAACACATCATTAGTTTAAAATTTTTTTTCTTCACCCGCCACTATTCTCTTCCATTTTTTTCTTGATTTTATCATGATAAACCGGTGGTAAAAAAAGTATTAATTTATCTTTTAATAATATATTTAATAAACATAGCAGAAAATAATATTTTAATTTATATTCAAAATACAAATGATTAAGTTATTAATTTTAAAAGATTAAGGAAGTCAAACCTTGTTCACTAAATATATTATTCACATAATATATATAGCTCATGAATAAGCATCATTACAACACTTTTAATCTTAGTACCATTTTGTACTCTGGGTTAAGAGAACCTAAAAAATATAATGTTGTGTGTATTTCTTTTAAGAGAAAAAAATAAGATATCATTATACTAAATCATTAAATTTGAAATGGTGTATAATACTTTACTACACATGATTTTTATCTAGAAGTTTATTGAAGTCTAAGCAAGTGTTCCATTTTTTTTTTCAGGTCTAAGTTTCGGTGAGTTTTTAAATTTTGTTATACAAATTAATAATAACAATTAAGTTAAATTTAAAATATATAAAACCTGTACCATAATCTTAAATTAAAATCATTTAGTTAACTTTTTATAAATAAAAATTATTTCATTCCTTATTATAGATCAGTGTAGATGTAATAGTTTATTGGGAACAACCATTCCAAAAAATATGTTTGAGATTAGTTACTGTTGGTGAATATTTTGTAATGTAGTTTAGAAAATGAAGGGTGCATATCAACTAATAATAAAGTTGCATCATTTTAACAAAAAATAACACTTACAAAAGAAATATATATATATATATATATATATATATAATATGATTTAGTAATGAAAATAATAATAATAGACAGCATGTATTTTTTTTTAATTTAAACATTTTTTTTTCATTTTTCTAAAATTTAACTATTTTTTAAACTAAATTTTTATAGAAAAAAATTATTTTAAAAAATAAATATTACCTATAATAAAATTATAAAAATTATTTAAATTCATTTTTTTGTAAAATGTGAATTACACAGCACATGTATTCTTCACTTATATAACGTTATTTAAAATGAAGCCACAGAATCTCAGTGTAATCTGATTTGAAATAAACTCTTCTTTCTAGAAATTAAAACCCAATCTTTTTGAGAAGTGAATATATTAGCACACAACAAATCAAGTAATAAATGGAAAAAAAATTAAAGGAGTACAATTACGTGCACTGAATCTCTGTTGGGGCCACTAAAATATATTTCCCCTACATCAATTTGCCTTTATGCTGCGTATTTGTTTGTGCAGCTGCAACTTTATGTTATAGTTGTTATTCTCTTTTTCTGTGCCCGAACTCGAACACGACAATTACTAAAAAACAAAATTTATAAACTGATATCGCAATTGGGTTTAAAAGTTCAAGCCCTTATTCTCAGGCTCGGATTTAGATTCCTAATATAAATGTGCAAATTAACAGTCATAAATGTCCAAGTTGGTACCTAAGATACTAATATAAATCTGAAATAGATTATAACTAGAAACTACAATTGACGAGCTTCTTGATGCTGCAAGATGGACATTTGTAATGCTTGATATAGGCAGCCTTAGAACGGGTAATCTTCACACATTTCCCATGAAACCACCTTTCACAAATGTCACAACAAATCCAGAATCCATCCACACCACCCGCATCGTTCTCTCCACATGTCCCACAAGGTGTCTCTCCCTGCTCTTCCTCCTCCTCTTCTTCCTCTTCTTCCTCATCTTCCTTTGATTCCATTGTTTTTGAATAATTTTCTTGAGATTCAGAACCTTTCTGCAAATGTCAAACCAAAAGACATCAGAAACGGCAGTTCACTCAACTTTACACTGTAGAATTGGATTTCTCTGTACCAAAATATGTATTAATTTTCTTTCAGTTCAAAAGTTAACATCTGAAAAACCAAGCAAAACATCACCAAGGGACGACACTACAACAGTCTATGATAGTTCATACCCTTCCCTATGTAAAAAACTCCAAATTAAAATTAAAATCATTGTAAAAACAAGATATCCTCTCAGCGTGTATACCTTGAAGTTTGATTTAGATTTGTTGTTATGATTAGAAACTGGTGACTTTTTCTTTCCTTGTTTCTTGACCTTCCCAACAACAGCCTCGAATACTGTTGGAAGATCATTTATCATATTAAAAAGATTATCCCTGCACATGAAGAATGAGAATAGATATTAATGAAAGATTAAAAAAAAACTTGAAAACATTCATCAAAATATCAAATTCACTAATAAATGAGAGGGCAAAGCATCAAATTAAGAAACGAAACACTCCATTATTAAAGTTAATAAGGAAAAATCAGCACTCCACTTAAAGCTTGACTTCTGTCCTGAATTTAACGTTTATTGTATAAATAACAGTTTTGTTTTTCAACTCTAACAAATATAGAAATGAAATCCAAATCAAATACTGTTATGAATATGGATTATGAATAAGTATTATGATATTTGTAAAATCCTAGGATTCTATATACTTATTGCAATTGTATCTCTCTTCCCAGTTTAAGGTAGAATCCCCATTTTTAACATCCTGTATCTTATAACCTAATGATTCATTTATTTATTTATTTCAGGCGCAATTAATTCAACAGATTAACTTGTAGGTAACATAATACATTTACATTCAACTCATCTAAGGTACAATTTTAGACAATAACACATATAAAACAGTTCCCTACCAAAGATAAAACATATCTCTCATTTAAGAAAAACAACTGGTCAGTGGAGTAAAACAGTTACCTATCAGCCTTATCAAACCCAAATCTTGCTCCAAAAAACATAGCCACAGCTATTAACCATGTATCACTGTGCGCAGCAACAAAGCATACCCAGTCCCGTTCTTTCATCCCATCTCTGGCAAAGTTAATACCTAATACTGGCTCTGGGATCTCTGCAGGCACCTCCTCAGCAGGTAGATCGACTTGCCAGACTTCATTAGGAAATCCATAAAGACAAAGATCATCCTTCCCTGATATCACAATGGTCATACAAATTAAATATAACTATTGATATCACAAAGGTCATACAAATCAAATATAAGTATTTAAAAGATCGTCCTTCTACAACAGAAAGAAAACTAGGATAAATAGCCTTGAGAGAATCTAGAATGAAATTGAAATTCAGATTCCTGCAACCCAGAATGCATGAATAATAAATTAATAGAAAACAGGAAAATGCAATCATCTATCATATATTCAATTAGCAAGCAAAGTGGTACCAAGCAAAAACTTTGGGCCCAAGTACCAAAAAATCGACAATTTTAATTGAAATCTGCAACAATCTGATCAAATACCCCTTCATAATTCAGAGGCTGCAGTACCACTTTATGGTAAGAATGAGAACAAAGCAAGCAGAAAAAGAAAAACTTTACGATTTCAACATGCATTGAACTATTTATCATCGCGTTCGTGTCGACTTAGTTTGGCATAAAAGAGAGTTCGTGTCGACTTAGTTTGGCATAAAAGAGAATTAATCAGGGACCGAAACAATGATCGCACACCATATCAGATGTATCCAGTAGTACTGGCATTACACACACCACAAGGCATACTAACGTAACTTATAAAGAAAATAAAAAAATACAGAAAGATTCAAGTAGGGCTTTTGACAAGAATTAGAGAATTAGACCAAACACAAAAACTTAAAAAAATAATTGAATTGAATACAAGTGGAGAGAAACTAGAGTACGCAGGGATTAAAAAAAACTAGAACAGAGAGAAAAATACCTGGATCACATTGCTGAAAGAAGTCTTCGTAATCTGCGGAAAAAAAAAAAAGTTACGGAGAGGAAGAAAAACGTTATCAAGAATTAAGAATGAAATCGAAAGGTACCAATGGTGAGGGCCTTAACAATGGCAGCTCTGCGGCCCTTGAAATCTAGGAAGACTTCTTGGACGGAAGGGTGATTCGACGGAGCTCCTACGGCTGCCTCCATGTACCGAAAAGACTGTTCCGTTAAAGGAAAAGATGGAGGGAAAGGGAAACAAACAAATATGCCAACCCAAAACATATTCAGTATGTGTTAAGTCCAATTTATAAAACCCTATCAAAAATTTTGTACATTTGGCTAGAGAGGTAAATTGAGTTTTTTAAATTTTACCCAACTTTGTTTTTTAATCTCACTTTTTAAAACTACAGAGGGTGGTAAACTGTGTTTTAAAATTTTACTTATTTTTATTTTTCAGTCAAATTTTTAATATTTCAAATTATTAAATATATTTATTTTATCTTATGTTATAAAAACCGGCGGATATTTTGTATTTATGGATAAGCTCCTTTTTCATTAAATTATCACCAAAATGATTTTATTTTATAAAATTATGGATGAAGGTAGATTATGTTTCTTTTGATTGTCAAAAGTCTCATCCCTTTCTCTTCCATTAACTATTAATTATTAACTAATGACAATTAAAAACAAACCAAACTAATCTATAACCATTATTCATTTCAAGAGGAAAATGGTGGAAAAAAATTGTGAGGGAAGGGGAAATCATTTCATTCAGTTTTCATTAAACAACTTAAGATATTAAAAGGAAATCCAAGCCCCAAAAAAAATAAAAAATAAAAAGGGAAGAATATTATGCAATCTAATATTATTCGGAAATATACCTATTTAAATAGAAAAAAGTACAAATATACTTCTTTAAATCTTATTTTTTACATATAAGCAATACAATCATTCATTTCTAACTGTTCAAAATTTAGTACTGGAATTTCTAACTTAACTATATAAAAGGACTTATATTTATCATGAAAATAATTATCTTTATCTTACAACCTGAGACCTCAGTCATAATAGCTTCTTCTCCATTGAAATTGAAGACACTATTGTTCTTGGAATTGAAGCAGCTGTATTCCTGTTGGGGTGACTCCACCACAGCACTCGATTATTAATCGTTGAAAAGTTTGAATATCCTCTCGACTTGTTTTCCTTACCACTGGATCCGCTGAATCCAAACTTTTCTTCAGCACTTCCACTCTCTTAGCCAAGCTTGTCACCTGTATATGTTTTCAAATGATGTTCATCAATAATGATTTGCATAAAATCAAATTGCATTCCATGCATGCATTGTACCTTCCTTTGTGGCCAGTAAGATATTCTTTCACTGCGGCAAATTCCCTTTATCACAAATACTGATACGCCTATTTCTGCAGCAGCATCCTTAATCGTTAAATGGAACACACCTCTCAGATCATTCAATGTCATCTTTTTTATTCTCTTTATCTGTGCCCCAAACCTTCATTAGAGTCATGCAAGTGCAACACTTTAAGACAAAAAAAAAAATATGTATAACCTGAAATTGGCGGTTGGGTTTAACAGCTGAAGAAGCCATTTTACTCTCGGCCTCCAACTCAGGCTCTGTACAAAAGTAACGACTCAATAATCATATTTGTGGAATGACATGATTCATGGAAGAGAAAAAGTGACAACCAAAAGGGATAATGACCAACGTGGGATTGTATTTTCTTCTTCGCCAATGAAACCGCCAACCGTTTCCAGACCAATGCAGAGGGCTTCATAATAAGTAGACAACGGATCTTCTAGAGCAATGTATCCTAATTTATTCTTCTGTGTGCAGTATTCTACCAGGTAACTCTTAATTTCTGCTGTGCTATTGTGGGAGAAACTGATACACCCAAATGCAGACAAGGGTTGAATATACACTAAAACATAAAATGACGATGAAGCTTTGTTTAATGTAACATCTCCATGCAAAAGTTTTAGAACGTACTCAATCCTGCGATAAGAGTCGCCTGAAAGGCCATCCGGTGTGAAATTCTGACAGTGGACTATTGCGTGGCTAATCACCCCGATCTCTCCATGAATCTCAAATGTTTCATCACAATCAGAACCTGCGATATATATTTTAAATTTAAAGAACATGGTTAAGGGAAAGAATTAAACCCGGAATGTAAGATGAATCAGAACTTAATTAATTACCGTTGGTGTAAATCAATTGTCTAAGAACTTGACAGCAAGTGCAGAACAATGGCTTTGGTACAGGACGACAAAATCGAAGGTCGTTTAAATTTACATCTGCACTCGTATTTTCTCCGTTGGGAAACGTATTATCGCCATGCACGGAATGATATTCAATCATTGGATCCATGAAAGGAATTTTAGGCTTCCTCGTCGACCAATCCCCCTTTTCCAAGTTAGGTACTCCTCCTCCTACGGTAAGATGATTGCCATGTTCAACAAGAACAGGAACATTTGGTTGTTGGGGCTCGAAGTCGGGGTGGTCATTGACTGTATAGACGAGTGCGGGATCTGGTTCGATATAGTTACAGAAGAGTGGATTGTGAAATGAGTGGGAGGAGTTATCCCAATTGTTATCCATGGATGCATTGGAGGCAGAAAAACACTTAATCACGGTGAGGAAAATGGAAATGTGTGCAGCGGCGACGCCAAAGACAGCGCCGCCACCGACACGATTCGTTGGTGACTGAGACAACGATAAAAAGTGTTAAAGAAGTATGTTGGTGGAATGCATGGGAACCATATAAGGGACTAAGAGTTGTGAGTAGCAGTTATGGATCGTTGGAAATTTGAAGTTGAGTATTGTTTTGAAAATCTATTATTAGGTACGAAGAGACTTTCCACTATGATGCCGTTTCCCTTCCTCATCAATTCGTTCGACCATGCCTTATGTGAATTTTAATCTCAGTTGTGATAACCTTTCCATTCTTAGGATAGAAATGGGGTGAAAAAGAACGAAAAGAGGGATGAAAAAAACTGTTATATTATTGCTATTTGCTTGATTAGAGAGATATAAAGAGAATTTTTTTAAGAAAATGTACAAAATTAAAATTATTAACATTTAGGTATCTGTTAATTCTAGATGAAATTTTCTTTATTACCTAATGTATAGAGTCGACATTTTGTAAGATACATATTTATTTGTATTTAATTGAAATCTTTAATACACATCTGGATATTATTAAATTGAGTTTCTTTCTTTATTTCTTTATATATATATTTTTTTAATGTATCAATTTTTTTATTATTTCCAAATCACTTGCTTAAAGAAAATAAGAATAGATATGTGGGTTGTATGTGTGAAAAGATGGAAAGCTTGGGTATCTTGTATACTAATTTATAAAAGTAAATATAAGATATGTGTTACTTAAAAAAAATGTAGAATTTAATATTGTAACAACTGTTTTATCTCATTCCAAGTAGAGTTGTCAAACAGATTAAAACTCCCGAACCAATTCCACCTATTACATGTTCGAGTAAGATTGGATTTTAAAGAATTTGTAAATTTCGTCACGAATCAAAACTGAACTTGACTCACTAAAAATCGATTTATCTAAGTTAAACTCATAGAGAGTTAGGTTGGTTTACCAATCCACCCATAAACTTTAAATTATATTAAAAAAATAAAAATTCAAAACTTAAACCCTCCTATGCTATGAATTTATCCATTCAAGATTATAATGGTATAAATAAATAAGTGCTAACTGTGGTTTGATATTAGATAATAATTTGTTTTGTATTTTTTTCATTTTAGATTGTATTTGGAACTTAACATAATTTTGGATTGTATTTGAGCTATACTTTTTTTTATTTTGGATTATATATGATATTTAATATAATTTTGAATTATATTTAGATTGAACTTTATTTAGATTTCATTTAAAAAGAATTATTACTTTTTTGAAATTGAAAAAAAAAATTATAATTAAGTAAACCAATCCACTTAACCTGTCAAGGCGAGTTTAATTTTTTTTATTCACTAATAAGCACAAACCCATGATAAATAGAGTCAACTTGGATTAAAAGTAGCTCTACCAATACTTCTAATTTAAATTTTAAATAATTTTTTTATTGATAGCTATCTTATTTAAATATAATATTTTATTATTAAAAGAAATTTGTTGTGTGTTGGTTTGGAAAACTTAGTATCACATAATAATTTTTTAAAAATATAATATATAGTCAAGTAGTCTTAAAAATTTTGATCATTGGCCTATCCAGTTGAATCACTCGATCAGTAATCCAATTTTTCTGAGTTTCTATCCAAACCCAGTTACTAACCATGCCACCAATCATCACAGACTTAACCCTACTGCAAAGAATGAACATTGAACTTCCAGTGCAGGATTAAGTTAACACCCTCCTCCACTGTAGCTGTGCAAGAATTCCCTGGTCTGAAAATTACGTCAGTGTTCCTGTGTTGCATTAGCCTCAACTTTCCCACTTAACTGGAATCCCCCGAGCAAGCATCCCTCAAAGATTGTATCCCCCTCTTTCAATTTCCCCTTTGCACACATCACCTTCACAAATGTGCTGAAAACGTCTTGCTTGATTACAAAGTTCTTGTTCATAATGTCATAATATGTCTTTAGTGCCATTTCTTCATCCCCGTCTTCACAATATCCCTGAAGTAAGCAGTTATACATAGTCGCGTCCAGGTTATGCCCATTCTGAAGCATGTCTGAAACAAGCTCTTCAACTGCCTGCATCCTACTCTTCACTTCACAGAGTCCACATACCAATATGCAATATGACAAGAAGTTGGGTGAGCTTCCCATCCGACTCATCTGCTTCAAAAGAAGAACTCCTTCATCAATCTTCCCCTCATCCACAAGAACTCTAAACACTGCATTGAAGCTTGACACACTTGGCTTAACACCCCTCGTCACCATTTCTCTCAGAAGTGAGACTGCTTCTCTTGGTTTTCCATTCTTGCAATACTCATTCACAACAACCCCATAGGCTTTCACATCCGGCTTCATCCCCCGACTAGCCATTTCCCTGAAATGCTTAAAAGCATCATCAGACTTTCCCACAATACACAACCCCTTCAACAAGCTAGTGTTTGTGGCCACATTATCTGTCAAACCATTCAACCGCATCCTACCCATTATCATCTTTGCCTCATCCACTTCTCCGCTCAAGCAAAGACCTTCAACCAAGGCATTGTAGGTCACAACATTCGGAGAACACCCTCGTTCCGTCATCTGCTTCAGACACTCCACCGCCTTTTGGAATTCA